GGAGGCCGGGCCCAACGACAGCTGCCATTTATAAACCTGATTGGCGGCCGTCGTTTCGTTTCAGCCTCCGAAAAGGTCAGAGGCCCACCCGAGGCCCCCTATCTGCCCACGCGGCAAAGGTACTAGTGGTTTAAGAGGAGAAAATGAATAAAAAAGAAAAAAATGGCCATCCAGCTGTCCTGATCAAGACTATGTTAATAATTAGTCAATAATAAATACTGGGTTGTCAGTTGTCAAGTGGATGTTAACTTATTGAGGAAGCTGAGTTGCTGCTGAGGACGGTCACTTGCACTCACCGCAAACTGTTTGCACTTGCTGCATGGTTCCAGGGCAAAGTCATCTTCATTGAAGTTCATAAAGGTAATCGATGACAAGGAGAGTAAGTCAGAATCAACCGCAGTGACCACTCCACGCAGAGGTCTTGAAAAAGGCCATTCAAGGTCCGTCGCGGAGGACCGCCCCACAATAAGGGCCTTGTCGATGGTCGCTGGGTGGCTTGGAATGGTCAACACGCTCCTGCAGGAGATAGAGAGTTTGTATCCAGGCATGCGTATTTCATAACTTGTTAAACCATGCGACTTGATGAACGGGATCATAAAAACTTGCGGCTCAATTCTTGACTCTGTCTGAAGACATCCATTCTTAAAACTTGCATGAAGTATTCAAGAACTCCAGTGAAACTTGCATCAAATATTCAAAAATTGGGCATGGAAAACACTGGAGAATGCCATTCAGTAATTTCAGTTTGGCATTGTGGGAAGGATTCAATACTAGCTACAAGTAGTTAGGTTTGTGAGTTTGGAGATGTTTATAGTTGTTCATACTACTCATTCCGCACAGGATGCCCTCAGACAGTAGACACTTCTCATGGAGCATGAGGTTGTCCGTCACAAGCTCCCAAACAATGAAGCGAGCAATCAATGATGTTGAACGCTGCCCCGGCCATACAAAGGGGAAGCATTGCGCGGATGTCTTTGGGGAAAGTTTTGATTTGCTGGTAGAAAGGGAACCGCGCTGATGCACTGCTGAATAGAATGAAGCCTCAGTCATAAGGCCTCAATTAAAAAAAAAAAAAAAAAAAAGGGGAAACTGCAATGAACCCAAGTTATGAATACGAATGTCGACAATGCAAGTCCAGATTATCGAGCCGCTGATAGTTCCAATAATCAAACAGTATCCAGAAGGAGAGAGGTGAGATAATCATACACAGACGAAGAGGAAGGAGGGAGGAAAGACAAGGGAGAGGAAGTCACAATGCCCACTCCTTCTCCGGGCTCCTTCCTTGATCGCCACCTCACAGTAACCAGTAATCTGAACACATATCGAAGTCCTGTCACAATGTGCCACGTGGCACCTTATCACACCATAATCAGCGCTGGAGCCTTGTCAACATGAAGAATCCAGGTACGTATCACAACCTCCTCACAGTCCCGATGTCCTCCTGAAGTGATGATACAACAGCCTTGATTTCTCCTTGAAGTGATGACGCAAAAAAAGCAGCAATGCCGGTCCCTTGGACCTGGCGATATCACACGTGGCAGCAGCCACGTCAGCAGCAATGCGTGGCAGCTGCCACGTCAGCAAGCCTTGAAGACAGTATGTAGCCAGTCGGCGTACCAGCCAGCAGCGCCTTGCCGCTATCTCGCCAATGCCAGCCTAATGCCAGCGCTAGTCCAGTGTCGCAGCGTCAAGCCAAACACCGCGGAGTCATGCTTTGAAGCAGCGTCAACGCAAGACAGCAAGAATAATGTCAAAGCCAGGAAGTCAACTCTTATGTAGTGTTGACGCGGGGTCTAGACCCCGGCTGCTGTATCCCTCGGTCGTCCAGATCTCAATACGAATGAGGGCTCAGATTGGCCTGAAACCGAATTCCCTCCGGCCTGGATGCTGTCTGGGTACCTGCGCACAACAAGTGAGTGTATCCATCCCAGGGCCTGGGTGCGRTACCTTTGACTCTACAGTTGACTTTGACTCTTGAATTTCCTGTGTGCAGCGTGTAGTCACACAGCCACACTCGACAGACTCAGRCCTGGGCGTGTCTTGGTCACACAGCCCAGCGCAGACCTTCTCAGGTCTGCGTGGCCTGGGGCTGAGTTCTGGGCCCCAGGCTACTTCTGAACAGGGTTATTACANGTCTTGGTCACACAGCCCAGCGCAGACCTTCTCAGGTCTGCGTGGCCTGGGGCTGAGTTCTGGGCCCCAGGCTACTTCTGAACAGGGTTATTACATTCCTGCCGACTCATTTTCGAGTTCCACCGCAGAAATATTTACGACTTTAATCCTCGTTCATAAGCAGCAACAATATCAGGAGCAGTTTCAAGTAGTTCTCGTTTGCTAAACCACTTGTCCTCAGATGGTGCTTGCGTTTTAAAACGTACCTTGAACTGCTTCTGAGGTCATCCACGTCCTCCCGTAGAGAAGTAACCATGCTCTATGATCCGGCCAACCTCGTATCCGCCATCCATATCGGGTGGAATCGTAGAGGGTCGGTTTGGAAACTCGTTTCCTTCTACGTAAGGCAACAATTTGGACGCATGAAAGACAGGATATGTTTTGAGATGAGGGGGAATATCAACTCGATAAGACGGTCCCTCTGCATCTCCAATTACCTTGAGAACTTCCCAGGGTCCAAAATAGACAGGCAGGAGTTTCTGAGACACATCTTCTTCTAGTGAGAACTGTTTAGACTTGACCCAAACTAAATCACCTACCTTGAATGTCGATGGTCGGCGATGCTTATTAGCTTGGTCTATCATTTGTTCTTTAGCTTTCTTTAAGTTCTCTTTCACTTTCAATGTCTTCTTGAAACAATACTGCATATTCACGAGTCCCTGGCGGTAACCTGAGAAATTGGTCCCGTGTTAACACATCAATGGGCCGCCTAGGTTTCCACCCCTTGTGCAGTGTTCATACTGAGTCTTTGTTCAGTTTGGTCAATCAAGAAAAGCAAAACATCGGCTATTTTGTAGTTAGGGAGTAGAGATGGGTCTTTGACAATAGTGTCAAGGATAGGCTTCCAGATAGGATCACTCGCATACCCTTGGCGAATCTTTTCCTTCAAATCACTCCCCACATCCAAATAAGAGACAATAGTCCCAACGAAGTCACTTCGCCTGGACAATGCATCTGCAACCACGTTAGACTTCCCTTTGATTGTTTTCAGTTCGAAGTCAAAGGTATCAAGAAAAGCAGACCATCGTACCAGTTTGTCAGAGAGCTTGGGTTGTGTCTTTATCCACTGCAAGGTAGAGTGGTCTGAGTACACAATGAAGTGCCTCCCTAACAAATAGTGCTTCCAGGTTTTCAAAGCACAGACCAAGGCATACAATTCCCTTTCATATGTGGACTTGACAACTTTTTCATTGGGCAGACGGACAAACATAAATTCGACTGGTCTGTAACCTTTGCCATCGTCCTTATGAAGGACTGTGCCAATTCCATACTGACTTACGTCAGTTGTAACAGTAAAGGGAAGAGATGGGTCAGCAATTTTCAGAACAGGATAGTGGGTCAAAGCATACTTTAGTTTCTTAAATGCAGACTCACAGTCCTTATCCCACAACCATATGGTTCCTTTCTTTAGCAATTTCCTCATTGGTGCGGCGATCAGTGAGAAGTTCCTAACAAACTTCCTATAGTAACTTGCCAAACCAAGAAAAGAACGCAACTCAGTGATAAACTTAGGTTGTGGTCAATCTCTAATTGCTGAAATCTTCTTTTCCTCGGGCCTTAGACCATCTTCGTTCACTATGTGTCATAAGTATAGAACTTCTGACTTAGCGAACTCAGAGTTCTTCGGGTTCAATTTGAAGTTACCTTCACGCAACTTCCCCAATACCAGACGTAGGTGTTTCTCATGATCTTCTAGTGTTTTGCTATACACTAGAATATCATCGAGATACACGATGACGAACTGATCCAACCATTGATGGAATAATTCATTCATGGACCTTTGGAAGGTCGCTGGGGCATTCCTCAATCTGAAAGGCATTACCACGAACTCGTAGTGATCATACCTTGTTCGAAAAGCAGTCTTGTGTTGATTTGCGGGGCTCCACCTCAATCTGGTGGTACCCAAACTTCAGATCAATCTTGCTAAAGTACTTGCCGCCCTGCAATTGGTCCAACAGATCGTCAATACGTGGTAGGGGTTCGACATTTTTGACAGTGACAGAATTCAGCCATCGATAGTCAATGCAGAGACGTAACTCACCTTCCTTTTGGGGCACAAACAAAACAGGAGCGTTGTAAGGAGAAGAGTTAGGGCGAATCCATCCTTTCTCAGTTAAGTCCTGGAGTTGTTTCCTCAGTTTTTCAAGTTCCCTAGGAGACATTCTATAGATAGGGCCCTTGGGAGTCTTACTGCCAGGAATGATCTCAATAGTGTGCTTTATGGCACGCTCAGTGGTTCCTTTTGGTTCCATTGATAAGTCCTTATACTCGTCTAGGAGTTTTTCGATCGAGGGTGGATAGAAAGTAGAGGACTCACCACCTTGTTTCACGAGAACCATCATTACTTCCTGTTCCAATTTTTTCTTCGAAACCATCGAACGAAAGGTTAGGTAACTCATGCAACAAAAGGACAGACTAGAGTCAGAGCCAGACTTGTGATACAACTTGATGGTTTTTAATTCTGATTGTGCGTTCCACAATTGCACAATTTTATCTTTGAACTTGATGTCTGGGTTAGCTTCCTCATGCCAGTCCATACCCAAAATCATATCAAACGGCAAATTCTTTTCCACAAGAAAAGAAATTTCATGCATAATTTTTTTCCCGTCCCTCGTACGGAAGCGACATTTCACACGATCAATATATTGTGAGACAGTGATCGTGCTTTTGTCAGCCAGGATAGACGTGATAGGTCGAGACAAGTTCTTTACCTTCATTCCGAGATGCAATTTGCGGATTGTTTTTTCGGATATGTAGGACCGCGTAGATCCTGAGTCTAATAGCACACCCGCGCGTGCATATGCGATTTCTACATCTGCGAGTAATAATTCACCCTTAGACTTTGATTTCTTAGCCCACGAGCTTCGTAATGCTAGCAACTCGTTACCAAGCTCGTCAAGGGAGTCGTCCAGAGAGACAGAACATAAAACAGGTTCAGGGTGTTCTGGACGATGGGCTGGAGAAGAACCATCCTCTGCCATGTGAGTCGAAGGGTTGAAAGGGTTAGTAGGCGCCTTACCTCTCTCATCATCTAAACCCTTCAACTCAGTAAGAGCAGATGCTACTCCTACTGGCGTCTCGCTTTTTGGTTCCGGATTAAAGGGCACCATGCAATTACATGCCCCGCAGTCCCGCATTTTAGGCATTGCGCGTTATCCATCCGGTCTTGCCAAGTCTTTTGGTCAATATTCATCTTCTCCCAGGGCTTTCCGGCTGCAATATCGGGATGATCCGGGAACGAGCGTGGTCTCCTCCTTACTCCTGGTCGTGGTCCTCCTGACGTCCCCCTTTCTGGAATCACTGCCGCTTGCCACACCCTCGGCCTCCAATGGCCACTTCACCACAGTATCGTCGCCAAAGACGATGAGGGTGTGATCCTGATGCTTTTGGCGCCAGAGTACTCGCTTACCTGCTCCTGCACCTACACCACCACCATATTTCACCACAAATGCATATGTGTTCTTTACCTGAGAAGTCATTTGCTCTCGCTGGAGAGCCAAATCCCAAAATTGCCTATAGTTATACTTACCTGACTTTGACTCGGCCACGAGCTGACTACGCACAGGCTCGGGTTGAGCACGGGAGTATATGTACAATACCTGGTTGTCTTGCAAGTTCAGTCCTGGAACTTGCAGCAACCGGTCAACCTCCCTGGACAAAGCTTCCACCGAGGTCCAATATTTTTGTCCAATGGTCGTGAGCTGGTCGAAGGCTTTGTCAGTCGTCGTCTTGTCAAGGAAACATTCCTTGATCTTCCCTAGGAACTGTTTCAGATTCAGTGTCCCAGCCCATTCCCCAATATCATCGAACCCAGCTGCATTGGCTTCGGCCAAAACCCATTCCTTAGCCTCCCCCCCGAGACAAGAAGTAGAGAAGGCTACCTGGGACTCGGGCTCGACAGGGGCCGTGCCACAATATGTCTGAATCTCGGCTATCCACAATAGCAGATTTTCATCTTTCTTGTTACAAAATGTGAAAGGCAATTTCATTTTAACTTTATCCTTCTTCTTCGGTTTCTCAGGTTGTGTAGGGCCCTCTTTCTTTCCTTTCGGGGATCCTTCCGGCGGCGGACTCGGCGGATCAGAAGGTCCCCTTTGTTGTTGTTCTTTCTTGTTAGTATTAACTTTGAGAGACTTCATGGCGTCTCCCATCAGTTTCTTGGGTTTCTCTTCTTTCTCCTGCTCAACCACTTTGTTCTTTCCTTTGACCAGATTCGTGACAGTCCGTAGGCCTGCGGTAAGCTCATCAAGTCGCAAACCATGCTGGTCAAGCCTCATTTCAATGTGAGCAAGATAACTTATAAGCTGGTTCAGAGAAACAGTTTGTTCTTCCCCTTCAGTTACTACGACATTTTGTCTGATCTCCTCTAGTTTCTGTTCTTGCTGTTTATTTCTTTCTTTTTCTCTTCCGATTTCCTCTTTTTGGTTCTTCTCTCTCTCAAGTGCTTCCTCAAGCTGACGGATATTCTATTCCACTATCTCCTCTGTCAGGCACTTCTTTCTTTTCACTGCTATTAGCAATCTCCGTATACTGGTCCATGTCAGCATTTGATAAGTATCTCCTGAACTTGCAGAACATCGGTGCTAGTCTCAGCTGCCTCGATGGCAGCATGTGCTGCCTCAAGGTTGAACATTGCCCGGACATGGGCTTCTGCCTCAGCACCGGCTTCATGAAGTTCAGTGATCAGTATGTTCAAGCGGGCGGTTAATACTTTCTTCCGCTCGTCCACTTGTCGCCTGGTTCGAACCTCAAGCAGTTCTACGGGAGTCTGAGAAGTGCTTTCAGATTGAGACATGATGATATGCGTTTGCTGCACAATAAACAATTAAATAAAAGTAATAAATTCCACAGCCGCACGATTCTACAACAGCAAGATTTATTTGTAACTAAAAGAGAAAAAAAAAAAAAATCAATTTCAATACTAATGTTGTTCTGTTCGTAGTCTGTGTGATGACATCCTATTCAGATTCTACAGGTACCACTTCAGGCCGTGTGATCAGATACACACACAAGTGAGTACGCATAGCACCACAATAAGCAACACAAGCTAAGTATACCAACATCAATCAATAACAATATGTTAGCGTTCTTCTTCTTCCCTGCGTCAATACTTGTGCCAATACGTTACAGCACACCAATCAGCAGTTGGCACTACAGTTGTCCAAACACCATTCAATCAGCTGTACCACTGCTGCCGTCGGAATGTAATTTCTCACTTAGGCAACTTCTTGCTTGCCACGTGTCATTCCCAGCATACCAACATAGCAAACTGCCACGTCAGCGGTGTCCAATCAACAGATGCTGTGATGCCACGTCAGCAATGTGTTTTCCTGTCCTTCCCACATGCCACATCCACGTGTCTTGTGATACCGTAATCAGACCAGCCAATCGAACAATGCCATGTCAGCACAAGGATGCCACATCAGCAGGTTATCACCACATCAACGGTAGGTGCGGCAATACTCTCCTGCCATGTCAGCAATAAGTCCTCCAAGTGCCACGTCAGCTCCTACTCAAGATCTGGTCGCTTGTGAGTGACGAACGCAACAATGATTGCCACGTCAGCGACCAGATCCTGGGACGTGGCACATCTTATGCCACGTCAGCAGACAGGCTGGTATCCCAATTGCCACGTCAACACGTGCGTTGGGATTGGTATCTGTGCCAGCAATAATCTTCTCGCCGGCAATCTTCGTCTTCTTCTTCAACAACAGATCTTCATCATCGTCATCTTGGTACGTGTGCAGTCTTCAATGGAGGTGAGTGCCCTGTCTAGACTGTCGCGCGATTATAATCGCGATTGAGCACTCCCTCTTACTTACCTAGCGCCACCTGGCGCTTGCACACGTACGCCGTTGTCGTCGTGGTCACAGCCAGGAGTATAGCTCCGATACCAAATTGCAATGAACCCAAGTTATGAATACGAATGTCGACAATGCAAGTCCAGATTATCGAGCCGCTGATAGTTCCAATAATGAAACAGTATCCAGAAGGAGAGAGGTGAGATAATCATACACAGACGAAGAGGAAGGAGGGAGGAAAGACAAGGGAGAGGAAGTCACCATGCCCACTCCTTCTCCGGGCTCCTTCCTTGATCGCCACCTCACAGTAACCAGTAATCTGAACACATATCGAAGTCCTGTCACAATGTGCCACGT